GCAATTCTGTGATTGCTCATTAAACCTAACTTGTAAAGGATGGGGAAATATCAGAGGAATTTCAGCAGTTTCCAAAAAAAGATTTTAGATAATAAAATTCTCAAAAATTCTATCAATTAACTCAGTGAAGACAAACTCTTCAGGGAGGACTAAATCAGACTATCAGAAGTCACTCTCTGCTCTGGTTATCTTCAGCTTAAAAAACTCATAGGAAAGTTTTACCTACTTTGACATTTGCAAACTATTGCACAAGCTTTAGACTTCTATGTAAGATCAGGTGGCTATTGCTTCTCAGTGTGCTGATACAGAGTCTTGGAACACCAAGAAATGGAGAACATCAGGCCAGGATGCTCACATTAATAGAGCCTGTAGGGTTGATATACACTGTGACTGGCAAAAGTATTCTACTGTTGATGGGGACTGATGATACTGTAATTCAGAGTGTTTTCTGACAAACACTCATCTACTTGACCGACTACAAGTCCAGAAAGACAATTTTCTTTCAGTCACTGTAACCTGTACTGGAAAACATAATCCAAGATGTTCATCATCACCTTAGATCTTTTTGAGCTTGAACATCTTGGCACTGTGTAACACAGTCACAGCCACATGGACAACCCTTCTGCGCTTCATCTCCCACTTGGGCCAGATTTGCAACTGGTACTGTTATGTCATCCACAAGGTTTTCAGCTCACCAATATTAGTGTTCAGTCAGACCTCGATTTTCAAAAGCAACTAGTAATTTTGAGCAACCAAAGAGAGAAACTGTAGTCTGACTTCCAAGTATATTGGGTTTCATTCTTTAAACATGGCTTGCACTGGGAAGTGATGAATGGCATTTCAAGATAACATGCAGCCAGTACATCTAACACCTGTCCAGCAGCTGAAAGGGATGAACATACATATCACAAAAATTTTTGCTCCTTGCATGCAGCCAGACCTGCTCCTTTTACCCTTTGAGCAGCAATAGTTCCCATTACAACAGCTTCCGAACCATTCCCTACTACTAAGTCTTTTGAGAGGAATAACTAACTCATGGGTGGACACAAACTCCAGTACTGCATGCCACACCTTCACACTGCCAGGAGCTCCTGAACAGAGAGGTCCACCAAGCAAAGTCTGCAGCCTGCCATAACACACACAGCAGCACTCAGCTGCTTCTGCTGTACAAACTGCCTGCTGTTCTCATGGAGAACTATTTGTCTCACTTCACAAACGCTAAGAAACCACTCAGACACAGCACAAAATAGCACCCTTATTAGAAGAATGTGAATCACAAGCTGTGCCTGTATTTAAGAGAGCTATACTAAAAATTTTATATTTGGCTTGGCCTGTTAACTGAAAAACAAAACTGGATTTGGTCCAAACAATAAGTGAGGGGGTTTTTATTCTTCCTTGTAGACAATGTTTTCTTCTGTTTGCTGCCAGGGCATTTACTTCAGAAACCAATCACATCCAGGGGGAGAATTATGACAAAGGGTAACATTTCCCTTTGTCCAACAATGGAAGAGCATTCCCAGGCTTAAAGGAAGGATGTGAATCTGTGCTCTTAAAGTTCAGCTCTGTGTTCCCCTTTTCAGTGAGAATATTTTCAACAGTATGAATATACTAACCACCAAACTGTACTGTATTTGGAGCAAGTTACTCTTCTACCCAACTTCACCTGCATTATGCCATGCAAAGCAAAATAACAGCACTATGAGGGTGAAGCAAACCTCCACAGAATGGTCTATAGTGTGCTGCTTTGGTCTCTCCTTCCAAAGTGATGATTAGAGGGCATTGAATTTGTGCTTTCCACATTTCAGGCAAATGTCTAGTTTAAACCACCTGATGAATTCATATGAAATCTCACCTTAATCCACTGAAGCCACACTTCACATATGCTCACACAAATTATTCACACAAACGCATAAAAAAGAAGGATCACTCTAAATACAATTTGAAGTATTATAGCAAAGCCAGCAGTACAAAAATGTTCCCTGTGAGGCCATGGTGACTCAACAATTAGAAGGTTTTCTTAAAGAAATGAACTCACACAAATCAGCAAAACCTCTTTTTGGACCTCTTCAAGAAGCTTGTGTATGGAAAAACCTGAATAGAGCAGGCTATCTTTCATAGTCCTCCACAGTTCTGCTTCAGCTTCTGATCTCTAAGCCAAATTTCCCTCAAGTGCACCCGGTCCTTTGAGATTCAGAGCATAACAAAGATCAGCTGTAGTTGATTAACTTGGGTGACTGGAGGCAGCAAGAGGAGTCTTCTCATATACAATGCTTCAGACTTGTGAAGAGAAGCCACGAAAACTAGCAAGTGGTGTTGACTGGCAAAGCTAGATGGGGAAGCAGGCACTGGCACTATTAAAAAGAAAAGACTAATTAAAATGAAAACCAAGACTAAGCAGAACGTCTCATGTCCATGCTTTCAACAGCTGCTTCCAAACTCTGGAGTGACAGAAAAAAATAAGATGGTGGTTCTCCAATATAACCATGCCATACTTAGTCCATCCCTGATAGCTCAACTGAAGCTAGTTCCTCCCCTCCACTTCAAGCATCCACCTACATTTAGAGCCTTCCTGCTTCCAAGACACTGAGTGCCCTTTGGGAAAGCAGCACATCTTCGAGAACTGCAGACTGCAGCCACCTCTGTGCTAAACCCTAAACCACAGCCTAACTGATCACATCCTTTAATTCTTTGCAATCTCAGCTCTCTCCTTAAACACCTACTATACTTAATATATACTCATCTCAACCCCAATGCTAAAGACACAAAGGCACAGCATGCACAATGTTAATTTTCAGTAGGCCAAGTCAACAAACTTGACCTCTTGGCATTAGGAGCTGTATGGTAACTTGTCAACAGCTGTTGAGGTGTGTTAGCACTTTAAGGTGACCTGCACATGCAAGCTGAAGGGTATCGACTTGAATGATGTGAGTTTAACACCCAAGTAACCTGTATAAAAGTGGCATCTGGCACATGACTATTTAATTATTAAAGACACAGGCTTCCCTGAGAAAGGATACACAAAGTGATGTATTTGAGATTTGAATCACCATATCAAGAAGAGTCTCAGGAGTCACAGAGTTGTCTTAAGAAACAAGTAACAGACAATATTTCTACCTAAGTTTTCTATCCAGCTCCCTACAAAATAAATATCAAGTATTCAAGAGGGAGGAACTAGGGCAAACTGCACATGCCCCTATGTAAAAAAAAAAAAAAGGAAAAAAGAAAAAGGGTTAAACACTTCTAAGTAAAGGCAAGAACCATTTGTAGAGTCAGACAGACAGTGAAGCTTCTTGAAGTACTAGTAGAACTTGCTGCAGATACCTTAGCAGCCACTTCAGGAGCAGACTGCAATTTCAACAGCCAGTTCTTGTAAGCTAAACAGCCTTCCACACAGATCTACTTACAAGTCCAAGAGAATAGCATTTGAAAATAAGTTCTCCTCTCCACATTAGAATCAGGCACTAGAAAGTAGATATTTAACTGATCAGTTTAGTCTGACTCCAACACTAAATGGAAAATTTCTGGGAGTAGGAATTTCGAAGTGATTTGTGTCATGCCACTGCTTGGGGAGACAAGCACCCAGAAGCCCTAGCCTTAGACCACAGCACTAGCTGCTGTACAAAGGGAGACATTCCTGCTCCAAAAAGCTTACAATCCAAGCTGAACCAAACTACCTAGCCATATCCTCTCTCAAACAAGAGAAAATATATTTCCTGACCGGCTTCTACTTCTCAGTTTGCTAATAAAGCAAACAACATTGTCTTGAGGAAAAAAGTGTAAAGACAAGGGATTCCAAATGCCATTTTTCTTCTTCCTCCTAGCTCAGCCCAGAGGAAGATAACAAGTGCAAATGTGGTTGTGAGGCAGAAAGCGTAAAAAGATCTGAGGTGTTCCAGGATATATCAAGTAGCTGCTATATTAATCACTCACAGGATCAAGGCTGCCAAAGCTGTTTAAGTTTTCATGGTATTAACTTGTACACTAAACAACAAGATCATCTTAAGGTTGAATGTAAAATTGAGAAGGCAAACAATCCTAAGAGGCTACACAAAGCTAGAAGAGAAAGAAAGCTCACAGATTCACTGTTGCATTCCACTTGTTCCAATCGCATCTGGAAACACCAGCTACACTGCATTTAGTACATCCCAAACCAAACATCTCAGAAAGCTTGAACAATATCTTGCACCACTGTTCCACACATTCAGGACTTCACAACACCAGGCTCAAAAATGAGTACTCAGCAATTCTTATGGCCAAATCCTACTAAACAGTCCATATACCAGAGCAGCCTCTCAATAGTATCAGCTCAAGAACACACAAGGAGCAATAAAAACTCTCTCCTGAGAACTTCAGTGTACAATAATGATCACATTGGACAATCCTCTGCTTTTTCCAAACTCCTTATTGTTTCCATGGCTTTTCCCCAAAAAAAGTTTCACTAGTATCTGAAGTACTCACATCATCTTCACACAAGTTGCAGACCACCAAGCTCAAAGTCTAAAAATTAGTACTGCCTATAGTTGAAGCTGAAAAAGGTAGGAGATTTCTGTTCTCTGTATCTGGACCACTAAGGGAACAAGAGGCAGCAGACATCTTAAGCTTCATTAAAAAAAAATAATTTAAGAAAAGTTGGTATCTCCATAAGCTAAGCTCTGAGAAGCTGCTGTCTTTTTTTCCTAGGTGCTCCTCCAAAATTACAAGCATCACCCATGTATCAACTCACATGGGTTTAAGGTAGTTATTGAAGTTATTTTTAAAGACCAGAACACTCACTCAACAGTTTAAGAGAAGCTAGGAATCAATCTCCTGGGAACCACACTATTCTAAACTTACATTTAAACTTGCATTTTGAACGATTTTTTGAATGATAAAATGTTGGGAGTAGCAAAAAAGTTCTCTGGCAAATAGAAAAGTAATGTAGCAACTTTTAGGCACACTGTGTCATGAGACAAACAGGCTCACTGTCCCTGCTGAAGTGTCTATGTTAGAAGTAAACATACCTAGAAGTGCAGTGAGTTTGGGAAGCAGACCAACTTGTACCATTTTATTTCTCAGGCCCGTGTCGAAGGAAAGATTTAGTAAGAGTCGAAGAGTGATGTTCAGCAAGTCTTCATGTTCACAGGGTACCATTTTGACAAGTTTTTCAACAATATCCATTTCAACCTGTATATCAAGAAAAAGAAAGATCCATAATCCATCCAAACTTAGCTTTGTCTTCAATCATAGAATGGTTAAGCTTGGAAGGGACCTTAAAGGGCATCAGGTTCCAACCTCCCTGCTATGAGCAGGGACATATATTCACTCATATGCAAATACATTTCCAATTTGTACCCGTAATCATGACTGTCCATGCATTTTCATCTGAAGCAGCTTTGCTTACATCTTTGTGGTTGAAGTATTCTAGATTGGGTTACTGGGTAACGTTGATTAAAAATGTTTTTGAACCAAACAGTTCAGATGCCTTGGAAGTATTCCTCACAGTTGGAATACTGCAAGAATGTGGTCAAGACATCACTTGCAAGACCTGTTTGGGGGGGGGTGTGGGGGGGTACAAAACTCATTTAAACACAAGCAATCCTGGAGCAATTGTCATTAGCGTCAAAGAGATACCCAACCAAGAACGACAGAAAATTGGCATCCAAAAACTATTTGAGACATTTTGTTATGCATTTCAAATGAACCCCTAGACAGAACACTGCACATGCTCTCAGAAGAGGCATGCCATCCTGTACATTAATTTAATAAAAACCATGAAAGTCATCTTGAAACATGTATCACTTTCAAATTAAAAAGTGGAATCCAGGAACTGAGAAGTGGTGTCAGTTTCTGAGATCATGTTCACTTTACCATCCAGAAAAGATATCTGAGCATTGGCAAAACTGGCAAGACTTCAGAAAGTTATGATCTTTTAAGGAACATTTCTGTTTTATTTGACATAATCTTTTAAATGCATTTTTTATTTCCCAGAACCTCCTTTGGCTAGAAAGAGGGACATAAAACCAGCCTGCATTCTTCAAAATTTTGCACATATGTAACTAGCCTTCCAGTTATAAACACACATAGAATGAATACAAAAAAAAAAAAAATCTCCGCACATGGCATAGTGCAATAATCAAGCAACTGACTGGATACCTTTTGATCAAAAAACAATCAGATAGCAAGGACTCCTACTTCACTGCTTTGAATTTAATATAGTACTTGAATATCAAAGGAAAGACTGTGCTATAAATATAAATAGATTGAGTTTTGCTTAGAATCAGGCATTGCACAGCTAATGTGAGTTCATTTTGTTTTTGACATCCTCGTGTTATTACCTGATATAAATATTAGAACACCTTCTCCCTCACTGGTAGCTTTCCTTAATAATACAATGGAGAAAAAAGTATCATCCTTATTATCAGTAAGAAATGTTCAGACTAGCTGACCTGAAGCATACAAACCTTTGCAAGTCGCTTCAAAACTGTTAAAAAACTCTGCAAGAAAATAAATTCAACAATTTTGTTTCATTTGTCTTTCCACCAAATCAAAAGGAATGCAGAAAGCTTGCCAGAAAAAATCAGCGGGTTGGAGACCTAATCCTTATTTTCCTAATAAAGTCCTTCAGGGCACTACACAAGTATAAACTAAAACAATGACCAATCACCTGATAAACAGTCTACATTCCCCCAGAAAAACATACTTGGTGTCTGACTTTTGTTAAGAAATAGGATACCCATATCTAAATAAGGGAGATACCTCTTGTCTGCAGTGTTCAGTGCATATGGATGCGAGTGACAGTTCCAGTAACAAAGAAGCAATTAATTTTCTACTGCATTTACAGAGATCTTTTCATCTCACAATTTAAGTGTAATCTCAGATTACTGCTGGGCTAAGGAAAATGTACAATTTTAATTTAACAAACTGACACGAAGGCACAGAGCTGAAGGCATGTATCTACTAAAAGCCATTGGAAAATAGGTAAGAGGTACTTGGCTAGAACTTAAAGTCACAAAAAAAAGTGCTACAATTTCAGAAGTCTGAGACTTCACCTAAAAAAAAAACAAAGGAAAAATAGTTCTGCCTCCAGTTCCTTAGGAGCTACTGGCAGCATGAAGGAATAGTTGTGAGGTGCCTTTGAAGACCCAGCTGACCTAGGAAATAAGTAAACTAGTCTAGCCAACTGCAAAAGGATAACTATCCTCTCTTTCCAAGACAATACATGGCAGAGACAACTATATGGTGTCAGAAGTGTCTAGTTCAGGAAAAGAGTCACAGGCATCTCCAGAAGGGGGAGTGTGACAAGACTCTGGAGTGCTGACTTGAAAATTTGGAATGTAATGTATAATTTTGAGGTAGCTTCACTGTTCGGTATGTCAGCTCTTCAAGAGTTTTTGCAATATGTTATGGCTGGATGTTGTTCTACTTTTCTTGCTAGTAAAATGAGTAAAAGGAAAAAGGATATTCAGTGCTACAGATATTTAGGGTGAGGGCAAAGATGCCCCCCCCTCTTCCATCCAACCATACACAGTTTTCAGAGTTCCTACTTTTCCAATATTGTAGTAGAGCACTATGAGCCTTACCATATCATTTTTGTTCTCCATAAAAATGCTGAGTTTCTTCAAGAAAGATACGACCAGGATAAGCAGCTCAAAATTATCACGGTCCAGTGCTTTCACCAACATATGGACAATGTTCTTGTTTCTCATCTTCAGCTCAGTGCGAGTATCCTCAGCAAGATTTAGGAGCAGGTAAAGTGCAACTAAAAGTCCAATACAAAACACACCAACAGATTAGAGACAACAGAACTGAACAAGTCTCTATGCACACATTAAGTGTTTAAGGCTAGACTTTCAGAAGCATTCTGCTGGCTTCACAGTGCATTGAGTACAGGCTAAGTTAGATTAAGTTAAAAAAAACAAAATCAAACATACAAAACCAAAAAAACTCAACTCCTCCCAAACAAACATCATGAAGTTAAGTGAATCACTTTTGCTATTTTTCCTGTAAGAATGACAGATCACTTTAAAAATTATTAGCAAAGTGTTTAACAATGATTATATATTCATCTTCCCTGTGTTCTTTGGCAAAGCTCTTCCATATTCATCCATGCATTCAGTATGTTTAAGACTTCCTGGTCATAACAAGCATCCATAGCACCCTCTCCCTATGTTCACTAACAAGGGAATAATTTGCTATTTGGATTTGGTACCTCTGAGTAGCTGTTCCTGCTTGACAACCAGTGCTTGGTATTTCTTGTAAGTTTTCTCATAGTCCTTTTTCAGTGTTTGATTTTCAGGATCTTCATCAAGTACAATGCAGAAGTCAAGGAGTCAGATCAAAGTTATAGAGTCTAGATATCTATTGTCCTCAAAGGTGTATTCAATCACTAGTAAAAACCAAGAAATCTATGGAATAGCACTGGAAGCATTACCACCCTAACAGCTTCTACACCTATAATCTACACCATTACTTTTTTCTCCTCCTAGTCTTGGATGTATTACATCCTAGTAGTCAGCAGAAATGTTCCCAAGACATACTGCTGGTAAAATAAAACATCTTTTTTCTTGTGTTGTTTTAGTAACTCCAGCTTAATCTCTTCAGCAGTTCTAACTTCTCACTGTTGGATTTCTTCTTATCTGCAATTATGTTTTGCCACTTTCTAGTAAGTTCTACTGCTTTCACAGAAGTTGCTGTATCCTCATATCATATAACTCAAAAACAGCTGTCAAGGCAAGTCAGAAGTCACCAAGCTGCCCCAGCATATCTAAAGGATATCAGCTTTCTTCTTTTTAGCAAGTTCTTCCTGCCAAAGCTCATGTCTCTTCAGTTCATGGTCTATGATATTCATACACAGAGCTCCAATTTTGTAGTGCGTGATTATTCCATGAAATTGAGAAAAACTAAATTGAAGAAAAAACACCTGTGAGGGGAAAAAATACCTGCAAACAACCCCAAATCTGTTTTGACATGTCTGGTAAAAATGCTCCAAAACTGCACCACAGGAAGTAATTAAAAAAGGTATTGACTCTGTGCCCCATAATAACACTTCTCTATTGGAAAATTATTTCAAAACAAGAACAATTCCTGAAAACATTATTAGTTTTGAAAAACTTTTAGAAGGACAAGCAACAGTGTGTTATTCCAAGTAAAAATAAAAACACATACCAATTTTCACAGAAAGGAAAATGTTTTCCAATCAGCCCCACTTCTCATATTCTAAGGCTTTGGATGATCATCTACTCCCCAGAAAAATAAGAGGTCTAAAATCAAGTTGCAATGCAAATTCCATTCAAATTATTTCTAGGCAGGGTATACTGAAACACTGGTGTATCTAAATAGGAGCAAGCACTCACTTCAGTTTTTAATACCATTTCTTCCCTGTGCCAATGCTGAGGGCAACAACAGGTGTCAGCTCAGCCTATAAGCTTTGGGTCAGAACTCTCACCACTTTCCTCCCAGCTCTACTAAACACGGCCTCACCAGGGGGGTACTTTATGTACTTGTTTTTTGTCATTTATAACAAGTGTGTTTCCAAGTCAGCATTTATTTCCTGTTTCAGTGAGGTTTTATAGTGCAGTGCAAAAAAAACAAACAAAAAGCCATTTAGCAGAGAGAAGTTCCTTATGTCCCCATACACAGGGACTCTGCTCACCTTGAAAAGCAGAAAAAAATATAAATTATATTGGTAGCAAGTTCCACGCTTTGTTTCCAGTCTTCCCTCAGCACTCTAGCCAACGCACCCAGGGCAGTTTCTGAAGTGAAACAAGATTTAGATGAGCATTAGCATTTCACCTCTCTCCTTTTGTCTTGTGAGACTCAGAATTTGAATATACCTTATTCTGCATTTATCAGTTTTCTAATGGAAGATTTTCAGAGCTATCTCACTTTAACATGTAACACTGCTCACGAGTTCTGTTTGGAGGCAGTACTAAAATAGAGAGTAACCTGGGTGGTCATCAAGACACAAACCCTAGTAAGGGGTGACATGCAAGAAAACCACAACCAAATACTAAGGTTATCTTAAAATTACCACTAACCTTCAGATCTCATGGCCTCTGCCAGCTGTATGTTCCATATTACCTAGAACTATACCATGTTCACTTCAAAATCCTCTTTAAATTCTACCCTGACAACTGAAGCCTATGAGGTGAGGAAGATTACTACATTAGGCCCACCTAAAAACAGCCTAAGCATCACCCAGTTGTAGGGACACTGGGCTTTGATCAGCCAGCTTATTATGTACTGAGAAGCAAACTAGAGAAAATCCCAAACTAAAGGTGAACTACTTGTCCCTTCAGAAGAAAGCAGCACAGGTAAACAGCACATTAGGAGAAGTTACCACTGGGTTTTAAAGTTACCATTGATAAGCAGTTCTTCCAAATTATCAGGATTCCTAGCCAGCTGCAGGATGAGGGCAGAGCCACGCACTTTGTCAGGGATGTCCTCATACAGTAACTCAATGTACTCATCCATGTCATTGATATTGGCAACTTCATCAATCTGAAAGCAGTCATAAGCAGAGGTTTCAGAGAGAAAGAGAGGGATGTTATTTCAAGATGTTATTCAATCACGACGTTATTCAATCGCAAGACAAAAGAGGGCACAGCTTTGAGTTAAGATCTTAGGAAATAATACAAGGGGAAAAAAAAAAATCAATGCATCCAGAATCACTGCCAATGAACACCAGGAAATCTGAGATTTAATTACAAAAAACAAAGGATGCTCAGAAATGACTCTGTGTCCTGTCCGATGTTCCAGACCTCACTTGCTGTCCTGCTGCGTGCTATAGTTGGAGGGGGAAGTATGCAAGTCAAATATTTTACCCTTTATGGAGATAATTTTTATTCCATTGTGCAATATTTCCAATCCAAGTTCTTTTGTTTAAAAAACATGAAGCAAAAACCCACCAGAATTCAGCATTTCCTCTCCAACCCCCCTTATATAACTGCTTACTTAAGAAGTCAATGGGCTTTGCGTTTTGCTTCTAACACCAATATTTACCTCCATTCCTTCAAATGTCGGTGGATCTTTTGGCTTACTGGGTTTCTCTTTCTTTTCTGTGAAGAAAAAGACATGGTTGCAGTTAAGCTATGGATATTCACAGACAAAAACCATATCCAATATTCTCATACTAAACTTTGTGGTTAAAACAAGGTCAAAGTCCTTTTGTGTCCTACTGATCTGCCAGACTAACACAGCTTCATTATGCCAGGTTTCTGAAGCTGAAACAGCCCACAGGGAGCAAAATAAACCCTGAGGTGCTTTTTGACTCCTCAGTCTAGATGACCAGTTACGGCCCAGTCAGCTGTGAAGTTACTTTAGCAGCTTTGACTCTACTTGTATACTGTGGCAAAGCTACCCCAGGATACACTAAGGCACATATAAACAGAATAAAAGAGGACAAAACAACCAAAGCAGCTACAGCTAAAGCATATAAATAATATTAATCTTTCTTTTAAACTCATCCCATAAGAATCCAATTTGAGAGCCAACCTTACCATTCCACAATTGCAAGAAACCTTGCTAACCTCAGAGTAATGCAGGATCAGGTGTTAACTATGAAACTGTCCCCTGAGCAGAAAGTTTAAGATGAACTTAAGAGATAAACAGGTCCACCAAAATGCCTTGATATCAGAGCAGAGAAATAATGTTCTCAGTAACCTGTTCACCAGGAACTTAAGAGAATTACCCCAAGCTGTTGGCCACACAGACTCTGAAACTCCTCACCCCAGCTTTACAGACAGCACAATTTCAGCCTAGGAACACTATCTACCCTTGCAACAGGTGACAGCAGATCTTTCTAGCAAGATCCTCATACAGTCTTTTTATGTGACTGCAAGTGCAGATGTAATATGAAGAGGCTGCACCTAATAATGGAATCTGTATCTCTCAAGTCCTGCTAAAGCACAAGGCAGCCAGTAAGAAGCATCAATACCAAGTTCAAGCAACCAAAAAGAAAAACTCTTGTTGTTAAAAAGATACTCCCCTCAATCTCTCCAAGACTGTAATTTTTTCCAAGTGTGATTTAACTGTACATCTTCCCCACTCATTATCCCCAAATAACTCATGCATCAACCAAGCTAGGACCTCAGCTAGAAAATCCTCACACAACTGTTGTTCAGTGCTGAAGCAGCCCAGTCCCAAGCTACTTTGTTTTTGTACATTTTCCTTTTCCTGCTG